TTAGGACATATTTCTGTTAAATATATTAGTTTAAATGTCATCAAAACAGAGCTTAAATTGCGCTGGCGTCAAGCTCCGGTGACTTCTTAGTTTCTGAGATGTATTCTAATTCTAGGCGGAGCGCACCGGAGTCCTAAATAAGAAGGCTCCGGCACTTCTTTTATGTAACTGAACAATTATTTCAGCAAAAATTTGATCTCGAAAATCTTATTTTTAGCAATAAAATTATATTAAAAATCGCTTATTCAATTTTAATCATCTAATGAGTTTAATTTTAAATTATTTTTAATACATAATAATAAATTAATTATGAATTAATTAAATAATAGTTAATCGATATTAATTAATAATATCAATTAAATAGTTCTTAATTAATTCGATACTCATTAACTATATAATATAAAAATTACTAATTTTTAATATTCATTTTATTTATTTATTTAACTCTTGTTCCCTCTTTCCTGACGGTCTTCTACTAGGGCTCCGGCACTTCTACTTTTAGAAATTAAGCCCTGATTATGATCATCACGGATGAGAGCACAGTGAGGAATATAATAAGTTCGTTTCTCAGATGTACCAACGTCGACTTTTTCTATAATTTCTACTTTAAATTGACTAGCTATCACTTCTTTATATTCCGCGTAAAAGTTCGAGTTCGATTTAAATTGTCCGATCAAATTTAAAAATCGTCTTTCAGAATTCTTAAAATTGTCACTTTAACCACGTGTAATATCACTTTCTCATCTTTAAATGGAAGTCTAACTTCGTATCGCTCACCCTTTTGTGTAGTTGAGTTTTCAAATATTTGTAAAGCCATTTCATTTTGTTCTTGATCAGAAACATTTTTTGTTCCTATACATTTAATATCCCAAAACGATTCGACGCTTTTTAAAAACTTCTCTTCTACACTTACATTTAAACACGCATCATGAATTTGAAAAATCCAAAGAAAAAACCTGCATTGTATACACTACCCAAACAAGGTTTTCATTGCTACAGCATTTCTATTTACTCTTTTTATTTCTTCACTTGCTTTTCCGCATAATGTCTAAGCTGTTTAAAACAGAAATGTCATGACTCATTCTGTCGACGACGCTGAGGTCTGTCAAAGTGATGTTGAATGTTTGGAGTTTGGACTCCATTTCTAAATCTCATACTCGTATATCCGCTTTTGTTATGACTGGTACTTCAAGATTATGTATTTTTCAGGATCATTAGTGTTTCGCAGAGTAAATTCAACTTGCTTTCGACACCAGTTCTTCCCGTTCTTTTCACCAAAAGTAGGCAGATTTAAAATAGTTTCTCCTTTCACTGGTAATTTTAATTTTCTTAATAAATCTTCTTGGATTGCAGAGATTTGTCTACCGCTGTTAAGAAAACACCTCACAATTGTCATTTCTACCCTCACCCACAGCGTACTCTGTTTTAAGCATAATTTTAGATCTTGTTTCATCAGAATTTTGAACAATTTCCATTGATGTTTCGGTTTCCTTATTTTTTACACTGGAGATAGCTGATGCGGGATTTACACAAACACTGTCATGATGTTTACCGTAACAATTTTTGCGGAAAAACGGTTTGTTCTTACAGTTAATTGCTAAAATTGTGGCTATGTTTCGCTATTTCTATTGAAATATCCTCTTGTTTACCATCCCTCAAAATCAAAATAATAATCTACTTCCGCTTTATGTATTGCCAGTTTCGTGAAAACAATTCTCTTTCCGGGAAAATCCATATTAAGAATATTAAATCAGAGCTCAAAAGAAAATGCTTTGAAGCATTTACTGAACAAATATAAGTAAACGGGAAACTTGAAAAGTATTGAAAAGAACCTAACGTTAAAGATGTAATTAGAAAATGCAGAATTTTTAATTCAGAGCTTCAAACTTCCCCGTGGTCAGTGGTGGTTCTTCGGTTATTTGAATGGAGGTTCACAAAACAAATTTCAAAAATTAAATACGCAGAAACGACGTAACTTACACGTTAAAAAACTATATTTGCATATCTCAAGTAAAGGGAAATTAGTGCAACTAAAAGGTAACAAGTTCTGATCAGTAAAAAATTTGTGACATTTTATCTCTTACAATGGAATGCAATGAAATGATAGTATTGCTTTACAATATATCTTTGAACGCTGATTGTAAAATTATAAAGTACTCTTTCTGTAGTTTACATCCGAAACACGGAATATTATACTCCGTGATCCGAAACAAAGAAAACATCTTCTGGTACGTTTCAAAATGTTGCGTTTCTCTTCGAACTTCACTTCAGTACATTTATATTTCGTATGGTCTTCTTTACGACAAAATATACATTTGTACCCAATTGTTGACAAAGCTGAAGCAGTCACAACTTTCGGTTTATAATTTGGATAAGCTTTCGTGCATTGTTCATGTTGTGGAGTGCATGGTTTCTGACTGTTTTTCGAAGAGTCCATTAATCTTGTCGCATCTCGGCAATTAACTTCCTTTTTAAAAAAATTCTATAAGTCCCTTTGTATCACATCCTGCTTTCGTTTTTCGATTTCCATTAAATTCTAAATTTAATTCCTCAGGAAAGTTTTGCAAAAATGTTGCTGCTTTCATTTTCACTGCTTTCATTTCATCTTTAACATTCGACGTTTCGTTCTGATATATTGTAGTTCTAGAAGATACCGAACTACATTTCAAATTTTCAAGAACGCTCTCCATTTTCGAAATGTTCAGTCTGTCGTTTATTCAGATTCGTAATAATCTCAGGAAGGAGGCACCATAAATGTATAAGTCTGTAATAAATCAGACTGAATCGAATTTAAAGTACGTTTGACTACGTTTTCGGAGACCTACAAAATGTTGGTAATTATTATTATTATTGCGGTTACCAATGCTGAAGCTCAGAGGTGCTTTCACCTCTAAAACGAGTTTAAAACATTTTTAAGAAGTACTATGAAGACTGACTAAACGCTCTAGCCATGCATTCTATTGAAAAAAAAAAAAAAAAGAAAAAGAAAGAAAGAAACGGGATAATTGACCTAAATTTAATGAAAACATTATTGATTTGTTTGTCTAAAAAAAAAAAAGATAGACAAGTGGATTTAATTTACAGAAAGAGTACTTTATGATTTTACAATCAGCGTTCAAAGATATATTGTAAAGCAACACTATCATTTCATTGCATTCCATTGTAAGAGATAAAATGTCACAAATTTTTTACTGATCAGAACTTGTTACCTGTTAGTTGCACTAATTTCCCTTTACTTGAGATATGCAAATATAGTTTTTTAACGTGTAAGTTACGTCGTTTCTGCGTATTTAATTTTGAAATTTGTTTTGTGAACCTCCATTTAAATCAAGGAGGTTAGAATAAAAGGAGGGAGGGTTCGCCGTTTCCTCCACTATCGGGGATTGAAACCTCCGCCGAACAAGCGGCATCCATGTTTGTGACTTCAAAACATTGCATTACGTTAGTGACATGTACGTGTTTCTAAGCTGTTCCGTGCATGTATTTTCCAGTAAAAATATGTTAAATTTATAATGAAATGCTTCGCTATTGTTGAATTTTTGTTTTAAAGTAATAAAGATGATATCCATAATTTACTATGTACAGCAAATTATTAAGAAATAGTTCGAAATCTAAATGCATGCGCATAACATTAAAGCCTTTAAAAAATGATCTTTCTGCATATTTCACGGATTTGCTTAGGTTTCATTAGCAACCTGTTGGGTGTACTTCCCAATTATTCCTTTAAAAAGTGATAAATCTGATTTATTCACAATATTATCATAATTTATTAAAGAATCATTTCATATACAAAGTTTAAGGTATAAGAGCTGCTCTTCGTTCTGCATTTTTAGGAAAACCTGAAATTAATAGCAAATAATTATCTAAAAAAATAGTCACAGGTTGCATTTTTTAAATGAAAGTTTTAAATAGAAGATCCTTTTCACAACCAACAACCTTATAACAACAAGAAAATAAATCATAATAAAATAAAACAGATTTATGTGAATTCAATTATTTCAGTTTATGCGCATTTCATATTTATTAATCTCAAAGAAACTGCCTTTAATTAAGCTGAATTACAGAAATACACCTATATAAGTTTTTGGATATATCTTTTCACATGTTCAATTGTGTAAATATTTTACATAATTTTATCACTATACTGGCCAGAAATTTGTAAGTTTATGCACCAGAACAGTTTATCTTAACTTTAAAAAAATGAATAATAATTAATATATAAAGAAAAGCATTGCTTTATTTAACATCTTTACAATTAATAAAAATAGTAATAAATGATTTCTTACTTTTCATGAAAGTTATAAAAGAATTACCTAAAACGTTCAAATTATACAATTTAAATCCTACCATACATCATTGTATCTTAAGGAAGGAAGATACTAGCTATAAACAGAAACATTAAAATGTATTTAACATTTTTTGATTATAGTTATATTACATAACATGTTTTGATTATTTAAGTCCTTTTTTTTTCACATCTGGAAAGAAAACAACATGACATTGTGATATTTTTTAACATAGTTGTCATATTACATAAAAAAAGAAAATCAATACTTACGTGTGAAAAGTTATGCCCGGAATTTTTTTCGAGAATCTATTTGTGCATCCATACGCAACACAAGCTGACATGCTTCAAAAAAGAAAAGAAAAAAATGTTGCAATGACAGACTTCCTTGCACAAGTCACGGTGATAACAGGAAGATGGCCGCCACGCTTCACCGTTTAAGTTGAACCTTCCCTCCTTCTATTCTAACCTCCTTGATTTAAATAACCGAAGAACCACCACTGACCACGGGGAAGTTTGAAGCTCTGAATTAAAAATTCTGTATTTTCTAATTACATCTTTAACGTTAGGTTCTTTTCAATACTTTTCAAGTTTCCCGTTTACTTATATTTGTTCAGTAAATGCTTCAAAGCATTTTCTTTTGAGCTCTGATTTAATATTCTTAATATGGATTTTCCCGGAAAGAGAATTGTTTTCACGAAACTGGCAATACATAAAGCGGAAGTAGATTATTATTTTGATTTTGAGGGATGGTAAACAAGAGGATATTTCAATAGAAATAGCGAAACATAGCCACAATTTTATAATATAAATACTATTCATTTAGTTGAGTTATTAAAATTTAAATATGTCTCTTCAAATGTGCAACGATACCAGCGAAGCTATTGCTTTGGAAGCAACTCTAGGATTGTATTTAAAACCTGCTTCTAAAATAAAAATCAGTGTACAGTTGCCAAAACTAAAAACTCCTGGGCAGAGCATTTCAAGTTGGCAGTTGATGGAAAAACTTAAAACAACTATACGACCAGATCAATTTTTGTATTTAAAAGCTCTCAAGATTACTTCAGCTGTCATCAAATTTGAAGGTGAGCTGGAAACTCGAGCTTCTTGTGAAAGAGCTCTTGCGCGTTTAAAAGCTGCTGGAGGCCTCAAATTAAATGGTTTCTCTGAATGGTTACAGATACGTGCGGCTCATGCAGCTTCCTCAGGCCCTACACGACACGACTGGGATTCATTCTTCCGAGATGCAAGAGGTGTTGATGAAATGAAACCGGGTGAGCGGCCAGATACTGTTTACTTGCAAGAATTACCAGTACGTTGGTTTGCAGAAATTGGGAAGCCAATAAAGCCTAGCGAGAGACTTTTGCAAAAGGCATTTGCAACTTACGGTAGAATTCGAAGGTTAGAAATCCCTGTGAACCATGAAACTGAAGAGCGAACATTCGGGAAAACTAGTTCATTGCATAGTGATCTTTTATTTGAAGCTTATATTCAGTACGAAGAATATGTGGAGTTTGCAATGGCTATGGACTCATTGAGGGGTAAGAAACTTCTGTACAAAGATGCAGATGGAAAAGTGTATTCTGCTGATATCAAGGTGCATCTATGAACTTTTTCTTAAATTGTTTAATTTCTTTCAGTAACATAGTAATCTCGGAGACTTCCAGTGAAATGTATGTGTTATTTTTAAGTGTTGCTACTTGAAAATACAGGTAAAGTGCAGAATCACCCACTGCTTGGTGCATTTTTAAGAATTGCACATACCCGGTACCCATGTACACATCGACCTATTTTCACTTTAAAAAAATCCCAGAATTGCACAAAAATGGCATTGTGCACTCCCTTGACTTTATCCATGTATACATCGACGTATTTTCATTTAAAAAGTCAAAGAAAATTGACAAAAATTTATTCTCTGCGGATGAAAACACGAAACTCAAAATTCTCCCCATCATTTTCTTATTACATATATTTCTTAACTTAATTCTGTCACCTGTCTTATTTAAAATAATAAATAATTTGTATATGAATAATAAGTTATGAATCAAAATTTTGTATTATAAACTGTTCATTCTTTATGCTGTACTATGTAAAAAACTGGTTGTTGTTCTTAACAAAATAAGCATTTTCATCAAATTTAACAGTTATTAAAAATAATGCATAATATCTTTCGAAGACATTATCCTGCTTCATGTACTAACATTTATTAGCAATTAATCTGTTACAATTATATAACATCTAAATTGCAAAGGAAAATGCAGTATATAATACAGAAGCCCTACAAATTTTATCACAGTGGCCATTAGTTTAAAATCATTAAATAGTATAATTTCATTTGAAGTATGCCTCATGAAAAACAGAAAGACTGTATGAGCAAATTGAAACTTTTGTTAAGATATCATTTAAAATACAAACTATTACTCTTTAAAGCGCCGTCTATTAAGCCAGATTGTCATACTGGTACTTCCATGTTAAAGAAATCATGCTGCTTTGCCAAAATTGGCACGCAGGGCCAGCCCCAGAGCATGTGCAACAGGTGGCAAAATTTGTAAAATTTAGATAATTACTGGGTGGCAGGTGCTAGAAATCGAAGTGGTTGCACTGTGTGGCAAAAAACCTAGCTTCGGCACTGTAATGGACTAATTTTTAAATATTGTCCATTGACCATTTTAACCAGAAAGTACAGTCATTTGTTATTTTGCTGTAATTATATAACTAAATACAAACTGAAAACATCTGTAGTAACTTATTACTAACTTGCATATTAAACATAAAAACTGCTTGTAATACCATTTTAACCAGAAAGTACAGTCATTTGTTATTTTGCTGTAATTATATAACTAAATACAAACTGAAAACATATATAGTAACCTATTACTAACCTGCATATTAAAAATAAAAACTGCTTATAATAATGCATCCATTTTAAGAAAAGATGAAAATTACATTATCAGCAGAATGACCAACCTTAGCATAAACACAGGATAATAAAATAGGGAAAACTATTTGAACGGATGATCTAAAGTGAAATTAAGCTACAAAAGGTTGAAACCAATATTTTTACCTAGAAACAACTAATAAAAAGTTATAAAAAGCAAAAAATCTGAAAGTTTTCAGATTTCATATTATGCCCAAGGGAGCTTTTTTCTAACGCTGTGTTACCTTTATTTATTAAATATGTTCTTCATACTTAAACCATAAAATTCAATTCAACAGCAATATCACAAAATAATTTTAAAAGAGCATATCTTTAGAATTTTCAATGCACAGTCTCGCACACTGGAAATAAAAAAATTTTTTTGTACAGTGTTGCCATGGCTCGTTTTGAAATTGTTGAGTTTCTTAATCAAAAACTCATAAATGCTTTACAAAATATGAAATAAATAATAAAACAAATTCCAAATTTGGACTTCCAGATGGCCAAATTAGGGCGGTAACGTTTGTTATTTAAAATTTGATGGCTCTAGGTACCGTTGTTTTATCACAGTGCTAGAAACATACATGCATTTATGAAGATTCTTTGTTATTTAATTTCTTTAAATATAATGCATCATGATAATATTTGGTGGCAACAATTTGAAAAGTGAAGCGCTACAAAATGCCAAAACAAAATTAATCAAGCTAATAAAAACTGGATTGCTGCTAAAATAAAATGGAATGTTTTAATACATTAAATTATGTTATAATAAAGTATAGCAGTATTAGTTTCTGTACTTTGGACTGCAAATAGTTGTAAAATAATTTTTAGAAAATTGTTTTCTCATTCGAATGCTTTAATATGCTAGATATTATTTGAAAGCAGGTGTTATCTATTTTATATACCTTCATTATTTTTATTAATTATTATATTTTTAGCAGAAGCAAACAAGAATTGTTTTCCCCATATAGACATTCATCCACTCTTGTTAAAAAAAATAAATTGCAAATACTTGGCTCTGTGCAACTTCAGCTTTGCGCACCAGTCAAAACACACATGCTATGCTGATATCTGAATATAACACATAAGTATTTTCTTCCAAGATCATGGTTTGCTGCGTAATTATTTTTGGCAACATATTGCTTTGCATCATGAATATTTTTTGTAACATTTTCTGTGGGGATGCAGATGATCAGAAAGTATCATTTATAAATTAAAAAGAAAAATAAGCCATGGTTAAAAAAATTATGGTAGTTCAAATCTTTAATGCTTTTGACTTACAACATTTTAATCTTTTCAATTTGTTTGCTTGAAAAATTGACTTAATCTGTGTAAATATATCTCTTTATAAATCAATATGTGCTTATTTTTACATTCCATATAAAAGTGCCATACTTCAAGTGTTGCATTTATGTACTGAAATATCTTAACTTATATGAACACAGAGTTACATAGTTCCTTATTTTATTTCACATATTTATTTTTGCAGTTTGTATGCATTGGAAATTGTCAGTAATTCAGGAAATGCTGATTAATAAAACATTACTCCACCTATGTGTTAGAATTAGTTTTAAAGAAATAATATGCATCAAAATGTAATGATTTCTGCTAAATGCAGTTCTACACCCTTCTTAGGATTAGATTATAATTAAGTTAACAGACAGTATCGTTTTTCTGTGCTTGTATATGCAGTGCAGTTACTGTTTTATTCTTTAATATAGAAAGAGGGGAGAATGGGGTTTAATATTCTTTATTTCTTCATTTCCCCCCACATTATAACTACGAATTGAGTTCTCAGAGGAAGTAATTAAACTTTATGAAGCCATCTGCATCAAAATAACTTGAGTTTTTTGTAGCACATTTATTTTATTCCTGTTTTATGTTACTTACTTGTCATCCCGTTGACCGTGAAACTCTGGCAAAGCAGTACAATTTAATGCTAGTTATGGATGAGTGTGATGTAACAACACACTTGTAACATCTGTGCTTTGAATTGATGTAAAGCTATTGATTCTCGATAAGGCACATTTTGTCTTCATGACCAAAGATGTAAATTAATTGTTACTGCTGTATTTTTTCATGCATTTGCAGAGAAGAAAGGATTAACATTTAGGATCTGCATTCTGTGGGACAATGAGCAATGGAACAATGAGCTTTCAGTTATGGGATCCTGCCATCAAGAAAGTATTTATTAATGAATATAATCTGATCAGCTAAATATGGTCAATAAAACAATAATAGATTGTGAAAATTATCTGCTGGAAGTTTGTACTCCTAGCTTTCTAAACAGAGCTTCCAGTAAAATCTGAGATCCTAACAAAATAGTAAAAATCAGTGAACACGTTTCTACAAACACAGAAATTAAGTGGGCTGAATACTGCTTGCTTATGAAATAAAGGAGCATCATTTCCTTTAGAACTTTGCAGGAACAATTGGTGCAACTTTATCTGGGATCTCTGCTAACTTTTATGATTTGATGGTAACCAACTTTCATGGCATGTAAGATTGAAGAGACAATACATAAGTACCTTTTTATATTGATATGTATGAAAACTGTATTCTTTATTACATTTATTTCTTCTAAAAAATTTTTTACGTCCTTGGATACTATTTTATTAAAATAGAAACAAGAACAACCTTAGCATACTTTTCTCTGTCCTTCTATCACATAACTTTGAAGTGTTACAGCATTAGCAATTACATTGTTGTTGCAAGAAAGATTTTCAAGTCATTAAATTGGCACAGCATCCAAAATATTTTTCAATGTAAAATAATAAATATAAGTTAGTGAGAAAAATTATGACTTGTAAGTATAGTATGGTAGAAGATTAAAAAAAAATATTCTCCTGTAGGTTGACTTTGACCGTACAAATTACCTTAGTGAGCGGCGTATCAAGAAACGAGAAGCAGAAGCAAAAAAAGCAAATACTGCATGTGTATTGCAGTTACCAGATGTGTAAGTTCTTTTTTCTCTCAATGTCTTTATTTTCCTCTTTGAGGTGTATCATTTTGCTTAAAACTCATATTAAAATATTTGTGCTTCTTGCAGAACTGAAAATGTTTCCCTTGCCAAAGTCCAAAATGTCCAAGCCCCGATTGATTCTTCAAAAATACAAAAAGTAGACATTCAGCAAAATTTGATGGAGCAAAAGGAAGTAGAAAATGAAGCTAAACTTTTGTTGAAAGAACTTCTGCATAGAGCTGAAGTAGGTTGTCTTTCTTTTTTAATGAGTAGCATATATTTCTTAGTTGAATAAATTGAACAAATGTTCGGTGCTTTCTGATTATCCATACCTTCATGAAAAGCTTCCAGTCCATTGGCAAAAAAAAAAAAAAAAAAAAAAAAAAAAATGGGAGGATCTTATAGGTACTGTTCTGTTCATAAGTAATAACAAAAAGCATTTACAAACAAAAAAATGTTATTGCTGAGGGGGGTAGGAGATTGATTATGGCCAGAAACAGTGCACTAGAAGGGAGAAAAAACACTCTGCAGTGAAATGATAGATTTACATGTTCGAGTACACATTCAATTCCATGTGTTTGGTATGTACGTACGTGGATTATCGTATGTATACTAAAAATTATGCAAAATATAAAGAAGTTCTACCAAATTTTCAACCTGGGGATACAGATAATCAGAAAGTATCCAACATTTTTTTGGGTAGAAGATGGGATGCAACCACCAATAATCAACAAGTTGTTTAACGTAAAATTTTTATTTTTATTTATTTATTTATTGGCTGTACATTATATTGGTGTTAAAATACATATTTATATTTGATATTTATAAAACATGTAACAGCATGTAGTACTGTTATATACCATACTAAAGATAAAATATTAAGAATTTCTCCATATTTAATTATCTTTATCTTCTCAGTATTTTATCTTCCTAGCAGTAAGCTTTTATCATCATCATCATAATTTAATTTAAAATATTTTAATCAATATCAATTTTTTTATAATCTGATATGGGATTAATAATATATTTTTATACGTAGGTAAATTGAAAAATAAGTTTCTCCTGTCGACTGTGGTCAGAGTTGTGTATGAAAGTCAAAAAATAGAATGAGACATTAAAGATATGACATACCTTTATTTTATTATTCTCGTACAAGTACGTTGAGACATTTTTCATATCGCTTGATAAGCTTCAAAAAGTCCTCAAAAAAAAATTCATGCTTTGCATATGGAAGAAGCGTTGAACGGCTATGGGCGAAAGGCAACACAGCAGGAAAACGCGCAAGTCACCGATACACCATTGGGTAGAGGTCGCTGCAAATCAAGCAGATGGCGCTATTGCAGTGCCTGCGCAAAGTGGAGACCAGCCTCTTATTTGAGCCCCGGTAGGTATGGAGAGAAGGTGCATTTTGAATTCGTGGTCAAAGGAGGAAGTGAGAGCGGTTATCCGCTATGAATGGGCACGTGGAGTATCGGGAACAGAAATTCATAACTGCCTCGTGGAAGTCTATGGGCCAGGTGTGATGTCGAAGCAAATGGTGCGGAGATGGTGTCGCACATTCAGTGATGGACGTCAGCAAGTGGAGGACATACCGAGAGCTGGACGGACCCGCACGGCCACTACAGATGCAAATGTCAGGAAGGTGGATGACATGATTAGAGCAAACCAGCGTATCACCATCGATGAAGTAGCGGAAGAACTTGGAATCTCACATGAGCGAGCTCAAAACATCATCCACGACATTCTTCGATACAGAAAAGTGTCAGCACGATGGGTGCCCCGACAATTGACCTCGACACTCAAGGAACAATGCATAGGGGTCAGCCTGGAACATCTCGTGCGTTACCATGAAGATGGCAATGACTTTCTGTTTCGGATTGTGACGGGGGATGAAACGTGGGTCCACCATTTCACGCCAGAATCGAAGGCCGCATCTATGGGGTGGAAACGTCCATCATCACCTGTCCGAAAGAAGTTCAAGACAACTCCCTCTGCAGGTAAAGTGCTCCTCACAGTTTTCTGGGACGCCCAAAGAGTTTTGTTGCTGGACTTTTTGGAGGTTGGAACCATCAATGCTACGCGCTACTGTGACAGCCTGTCGAAATTGAAAGAGGCGATTCGGAAAAAGCGGCCTGCCCTTCTCACATCTGGTGTTCTGCTGTTGGATGACAATGCCAGACCACATTCGGCGACGGCAACACAAAACCATATTGCAACTCTTTGTTGGGAGCGCCTACACCATCCGCCATACAGTCCTGATCTCGCACCAAGCGACTTCCATCTGTTTCCGGCTTTGAAAAATCTCGGGGAAAGGCGCTTTGGAAGCAATACTGAAGTGAAACAAGCCGTTCAACGCTTCTTCCATATGCAAAGCCCTGATTTTTTCCTGGAGGGCTTTTTGAAGCTTATCAAGTGATATGACAAATGTCTCAATGTACTTGGTACCTATGTGGAAAAATAAAGGTATGTCATATCTTTAATGCTCATTCTAATTTTTGACTTTCATATACAACTCTGACAACTGTCGACAGGGGAAACTTATCTTTCAACTTGCCCTCGTATCCAAATAGATTTTGGATTGTCACATTAGCGTGTTTCTCTTCTAGTCTTACCCTCGTATCTTTTCTTTTTAGCAGGATAGTCAAAAAGTGTCATTTCATTTAGCATGCTTGGCAATAATGTATTAATTATAATAAGCATATTTAGATCATTTATCATCTTGCTGTAGACTTTTATTATGCTATGGAAGTTATGTTACAAAAATGGTTGAAATGTTGCAAAAAACATTTAAAAACAGCACTATCAGAAACAAAAGTTTTTTAGCAGTATAAGATGTTGTAGGAATGTAGAGAATGTATCAAAATGAACCATGATCTGATATACTAGTCACTTTACTAATGTCAATCAAGTCTGAAATTTGATGCTTTGTTGTTAAAAATTGGATTATTATTGAGTTGTATCAGTTGTACCCTGCAAACAATTTTGAAAGGTCATTTGAGCTTACTGCACATTGCTCCTAGTGTCATTCCAAAAATGTTACATTTTTTCAAAAAAAAAAAGGTCAAATGGCTTTGATGAAATGTGGATCTGTGCAGTTTTAATACAAAAACAGCTCAATCAAGTAAATGCAATGAACAAGTTTTCTGACCGATCTATGACCGAGGCATTGCATAAAGCAAGCTTGAAAAGGCTGTGTTGATCAGAAACCAAAATTGTATTGATACTTTTTTAAAATTTTTACTTCCACTGTTTCTTATTTCTAAGTAATTCATAGAATAAGATATGAATTACGGCAAGATGACGTGGGAATTTTGTACCATGATACTGTACCTACATATAATGCTTTAACTTTTGGCCAGACATTCAACGAATATGGCTTAGAAACTCCATATTAACCAATATGGCACCATGTAGCTTTTTCTTACTATAGTTAAAAACTTCCATTTCACCTTATAGTCCCCATAGTTATTAGTTATATAATGATACTAAAACATTTGTTGCAAATCCTGAAGGGTGCACTAAAACAATCTTAAAACCACATTTCAAGGATTAGAAAGACATTGAATTTGAAAGAACAAATTTAGACTATATAAGTTCCCCCCCCCCCCGAAAAAAAAAACTTAGATTGGTGTAGATTGTAAATAAAACTGATTTGATTTTGAGAGCAGTCTAATGCTGGTTTCTCCTCTTCAAGGGGGGAAAAAAAAATCCATTGTAGACAAACTGCTGAACAAATAGATAAATATGAATATAGCACTCTTTCTGCTGTATCTATTTTGCTTTTTGTTTTGTTTCTGGTATAGGATTTTTTGTATCTGAAGAGAAAAGTCTTGTGTGAGCTCACCTTTGAAATGAGCAGTTTTATTTAAAATCTGTACCAACTTCCTCAAACAAACATATACTTATATTTTACATTGGTATGTATATTCTCCTTTATAGTTCAGCTTGTACAAGAGCCTAATGAAAATTTTAAAAATTCCTTCATGTAAATATTTACAGATATTTGTAAGGAAATTTCGGTATGTTTAGTTTTACTATAACTTTTGGTATTACTTAAAAGAAAAGTTTATCTCATCAGTACTTAGATTTAATTCATTAAAAAGCTTAGAAAATTTATCCAGAATAATGCAGTTATAGGAATTGGGGGGAGAAGAACTAGTATTTATTAATTTAAAGCTTCAGAAAGTCTTGGCGACTATCTTTGGGAAACTATTTCATAGGAAGGCTGATTCACATGTAAGATATGTGAAAAAGATGGTGCTTTTGTATTAATGGCGCATTATTTAACGTCAAACATAAATGTTGATGAAACATCTGACTAGATTGCACCAGCTTTAATTATACGTAAAGCTTTATTCAACAAAAAATTAACTTGTAATAACAGTAATGTATCATTTAATACCATATATGTAAAGTTTAATGTGCATAATACCAACTTTGTGTAATTCTGTGAATTTTTTTAAATCAAAACGACCAGAAAATTCTACAAGTTTGGCATTGTACATAGTAAACATTGCATAGCTATTCATAATGTAATATAAACAGACTTCCACATTTGGTGTTTCAGAGCATATTTGACAGTTGGCACCAGATTAACAGAAAAGGACCAAAGAGACAGTTCTGCAGATAGTGACATCAGTTGCAAATTAAATCTGAATGCTCCCAAGTGGCCAGATATATTTATGTGTTCAAAAATATTTGTTATGATACCTAAAACTACATATACATACATCTTGAAATATATCCATACAATTAAGGTAGTATGTACGAGGGCCGTCGAGGAAGTAGATTACGTTTCCGTCTGTGTCCGCTAGGGGGCGGGGCTAGCACGGCCATCTTGGGGTCAGAGCGTTGCGCAGCTCAGTCTGCATCTAGCCGTGCTAGTGAGAGGTTCGTGCTGTGCTCCGTTCAGATACTGTGACGGTTTGAAATGTCTGCGTTAATTGAAAATCCCGCGAGCTGCGAGGTGCGCTCAGTAATAAGGTTTCTGACTGCAAAAAACTGTAAACCGATAGAAATCTATCGGCAGCTTCGTGAAGTGTATGGGGACAACATTATCACTGAAGGTGGAGTGCGTCAGTGGGTCATAAGATTTCAAAATGGCCGAACCAATGTTCACGACGAAGATCGAAGTGGGAGACCCAGCATAGTGACCGCCGAACTTCTCGAAAAAGTCGATGCTAAAGTCCGTGAAAATCGAAATTTCACAATAACGGAACTTTCTTTGAGTTTTCCACAAATTTC